GAAAGCCTACAGCTTTTACAGCTCCGGCCCAGCCATCCATTTAGACTCTGGTGTATCTGTTAGCGGGGCTGGTGTATAGGAGACATTCAATAGTAGCAATTATTATTTCCCCCACACCTCTGTCACCTACTCTATAAAGAACAAAAGCTCACCAGAGGCAAAGTTGAACACTGCATGAGCTGCTGGAAATAAGAGAGTTGCCTTTGGCTCAAAAATCTCAAGGATCCATGTAGATTTTTGTTTTCTCTAGGGACAAGTCAGCTATTCTAAGTTTCCTTTAGGCAATTCTAATTTCTCCTTTATGTGACAGAGAAAATGATAGGTAAAAGTGAAATGGGCTACAAAATATATTGATTCTCTGACATTGGGGATTATCTTGTCTGCCTTTGAGAGTCCAGTGTTTCAACTTGAATTACTGTTGTGAGATAGAGAGGGGTTTTCAGTGAGTCCAGGGAAGTTAAGTTTAAAGAATTTTCAAGTTAAGGATCCTAAACCTAGTTCCTGGGGTTAGCAGTATAGTAGTCCATAACAACAAAAATTATAATGAACAGAGGGTTTTAAAGCTTGGTGAACGAGGTTCTTGGAACTCATTTAAAGTTCAGATCATATGACAGCCACTGATTGAAAGCCCTCAGAGTGGCTTTTGTCCAGCTGATGAAAAAGTAAGAAGAGATCTTTGGATCAGTTATCAAAGTCATAGAGTAAATACCAATGGAACATGCAAAGTGGGTGTGTGGCATTAGGTTAACATATCATGTGGTTTGAAAACAAATGTAGTCACTAGGCATTTGCAGAGTGTAAATTGCTGGAAAATGTGGCGTGATTAAGAGAATTGTAAGACAGGAGAGCTGAAGGCACTTAAAGATGTGATCTACCCTCACTGGCTTTGTTCAGGCATGGGGATGTCTACATCATCCAGGACGATGTTAATCGTATCTCAGAATGCTTGCAAAAGAAAGAGTCCATCTGTCCTTCTGTTAGTTGGAAAGAAGAAGAAATAAAGGAAGAAAGAAAGGAAAAAAGAAATGAAGGGAGGAAGAGAAGGAGAGCAAGAAGCTCACTGGGCAAGCTCAATGTAAAACTCAGATGATTAGTTTTGGATTTCCAGTTTTTCCTGTATAACCAACCAAGACCGGTCTGTGAGGCAACGCACACGGCTAACAAAGAACAAGGGTGACTTTTCTGCTCTTACTTCTTGTGTTCTTTGTCGAGGAGAACAGGGACAGCTCATATATTCAGCAAATGCCCATGGAGTGCTGACCTCTGTGATAGGACGTGAGGATGAAGCTTGAGGAAAAGCAGTAGCTTTTTTATCTACTACTCCATTCTTAATGAATGGGTGGTGCAGCCTCCAAGCAATGACCCTGTAGAAAATACAGGGATTAGAATCATAGCTATCCAGCCAACTGTATGAGCATGGAGAGATTGTAGACTTTGTTGTCTAAATTCTTTTCTGGCATGAAAGATGCATATTTTCGATCACATAACTTCTTTTTCCAGAAAGATCTCAAAGTTAGAAATAAGCCTTAAAAAAGCATAATGCTCCAACTCTGAAATACCATATTTCTTTGCCAATAAAACCTTATTTCTTAATGATCAATTCCAAAATGCCTGTGAAAATATGAAACTCGGCAAAAGGAATTAAAATGAACTTACAGCTTGAAATGAAGATTATTGCCTGTCTTTTTGAATATGTTACATTTTGAAAAAATAATAATACAGGTATACTAGATAATAAAGATTCTCTCTCCTCAAAGACCAAGAAGCTTTGTAGCCATGATCTGCCTATGCAGAATACTCTCCACAGCTGCTTGTTTAGTAACAGTGTCACCTATGAATTCTACAGCTGTGCTCCATGTCTGTAACCACAAACGATTAATTCAAGTGGAGGACTCTGTCTTATTTAGGGTTTCTTTTGTTGTGACGAAATACCATGACCAAAAAACAAGTTGGGGAGGAAAGGGCTTATTAGGCTTACCCTTCATTATTGCTGTTCACCACTGAAGGAAGTCGGGACAGGAACTCATACAGGATGGGAAGCTGGAGACAGGAGCTGATGTAGAGACCATGGAGGGATGCTGCTTTCTAGCTTGCTCCCCATGGCTTGCTCAGCCTGCTTTTTTATAGAACCCAGGACCACCAGTCAGTCCAGGGATGACACAAACCACAATTTGCTGGGCCCTCCCCCATCAATTACTAATTAAGAAAATGCCCTCCCTCACTAAATGAGAAAATGCCTTACAGGTGGATTTCATTGAGACACTTTCTCAACTGAGGCTCCTTCCTCTGATAACTCTAGTTGTGTCACATTGACACACAAAACCAGTCACTAAAGAATCCAATTTCTTTCCAAAGTGTTCTTTCATTCATTACAACTGTTTAGAACCAACTTCCTTGGATAGAGGGGGCATCTCCAAGTTCCCCTTTTATAAGACATGTATTTTTAAAAATATACAAACATGTCAAAATTTTCCAACTTGCATCATATTCAAAACAGGGCACGTGTTTTACTTGGGTCATAAAATTATTGTATATACATATACATATATGCTCACAAATACATACCTACATGTGTCTGTGTGTGCATGTAAATGACAAAAGTCAGTGATAAATCCACATTATCAAATACAGAATGGTGCACATCTTCATTGAAACAAGAGCAAACAGTATTTCTGGGCACACAAAGAAATGAACAATAAATGTATCTGTATAGATGGAATTTGATATTTTCCCCCTCCTATTTGAGTCAAATATGATACACATGTGTCAGGGAGATTTATAATTATTATGTTTTTCAGAAAAAATAAATCAGTAAACCAGGACAAAGGTAATACTTGTCTATTTATGGTCTGTCCAGGTCCACCAGTCAATCCAGGTTCACGCATGAGAAAGGGAGTATAAACTGAGGAAAGAAACAGGCTAGACAGGAGGCAGAGTCACATCGTTGAGAGTGAATCCATCCAAGTTTATTGTTATTGTTGTTTATACTCCCATCAAAAGAGAGGGAGAGGAGCCGGGCGTTGGTGGTGCACACCTTTCATCACAGCACTCGGGAGGCAGAGGCAGGTGGATCTCTTTGAGTTCGAGGCCAGCCTGGTCTCTACCGAGTGAGTTCCAGGACAGGCTCCAAAACAATACAGAGAAACCCTGCCTCGAAAAACAAACAAACAAACAAAAAACCAAAAAAAAAAAAACCAAAATCAAAAAAAAAAAAAGAGGGGGAGAAGGCAAAAGATTTCCTTTCCAATGACACAAAGAACAGAGTAATTACCTCTTCAATACTCAAAACATCAAATAACTCCATGCTGAGTTAAGTGTTTTGTTGTTTAGGTAGGACATGCAGCAACCACACCTTAGGCCAGGAATCCTGTTGCACTCACACTTTAGGCCAAACATCCTTGTTGCTTCACCTTGGAAGAGCAAGTGCTGGTAAAAACTCTCTGACCTTAAGTTGAAACGGAGTCAATTCTGTGGGCTTCCACATTGGTCTGGTGTGAGGGGAGCAGGGATGTAGAAATAAGAGTAATAGTTTCTAGGTAGTGTGGTGGGTGTGTTCATGGCCATTGCACACCATAAGAGTGGGTCTGCCATCCTGGGAAGTTAAATGCTTCAGGCATGTTATCTAAATAATTCTTGCAGTTATACTTCCATTCTAATCTTTTTCTTTAAAAAATATTAATTTATTTATTTTGTGTACACAAATGCTCTATCTACATGTATGACTTCATGCCAGAAGAGAACATCAGATACCACTACAGATGGTTGTGAGGCATCATGTGGGCGCTGGGAATGGAACTCAGGACCTTTGGAAGAGCAGTCAGTTCTCTTAGCCTCTGAGGCATCTCTCCAGCTCCCTCCATTCTAATCTTACAACTGTGAAACAGTATCTTGAACACAGACTTTCCTTTTTCTGGTTGGAACCTTATAGCACAGCCCAAACTCTTCCTGTCAGTGGTTTGGAGTGAATTTGTGAGCTACCCTGCTGGCTTTGCCGGTGAGATGTGTGAAACAGAAAGCATCACTGAAGGCACATGCTGGAATTAGAATCCAGGTGCCCGGAAGATGCCAGTGAGACACTGAAGAGGTCAGACAGATGGAATAGAGTAGAGGTAATCAAATCACATGGGAGAACATGGATTAATAAAAACGGGTTAATTTAAGTTATAAGGGATAGTGGGACAGGCCTAAGCTAATGGTCAAGTTTTCAAAATTAGTAATAAGTCTCTGTGTCATTATTTGTGGGTTGGCAGCCAAGAAGAAAGACCGACTACATTTACACATTTTGAATGACAAAGAAGATGGCCATAGTATTAATTTGTACAGATCGTTGCCCAGATGATGGAATAGAAATTCACCCCTGGGAGGAAAACAATGCCTCTTCATTACTTACACTGTGTTACATGCATGCTGGCCACTTGCTGCTTGAGGTCTTAAGTGAATAACATAGCATTAATTCTGAAAATCAGTTTAGCTCCTAAAACTCACATTCATTGTGATGCAAGTACAATCCTAGAGTCCACTAGTTAGTGAGATGGCTTACTGGTGTGACACTGGTGTGACACTGTTATTGGATGGCCTACCCACAGTGAATTTAAATGTCACTTGCTTTGCTGGCTGTTGACACTTCTCCCTTCTCCCCACCCCCAGCTTGGACAGAATGTGTCAGGAGGAGTGAGACAGAAATGCGTTCTTTCATGGGTTTTGAAAGCACTTGCTGAGATTGTTCCATCTTTGGTGGGATTTTTTCTTTTCCCCATTTTGGAAGAAGAAGAATACATTTGGAACCAGTTGGTGTGACATAATGCAGAGTCCTTGGCAGGTACTTGTATGTCTGGGCACTTTGGATGTCAAAGAGACCACGGCTAAGTAGTATCTTCTCTCTGAAATCCAGAGTATTTATTTGTATGCACACAGATCTCTCTGCCTCTCTGCCCCACCTCTTATTGCACGGCACTTTTATTCTTCCTGTTTTATTCCTTCTCTCTTCCCCTCTGTCTTAGGGTTTCTATTGCTACGAAGTGACACCATGACCACGGCAACTCTTAAAAAGGAAGACATTTAATTGTGGTGGCTCCCTTACAGTTCAGAGGGTAAGTCCATTATCGTCATGGCAGGAAGCATGGCAGCATGCAGACAGACATGGTGCTGAGAGATCTTACATCTTTACTCACAGGCAACAGGAAGTGGTCTGTCTCACAGGGTGTGGCTTGAGCATATGTGAGACCTCAAAGCCTGCCTCCACAGTGACATACTTCCCAAAACAACGCCACACCTACTCCAACAAGGCCACACCTCCTAATAGTGCCACGTTCCAATAGTGGCTCCTAATAGTGTCATTTTTCTTTCAAACCACCACACCCTCCTTAAGACCCAATGCTTCCATGGTAGGTCAGAGCAAATACGTTTGCACTCAGTGTAGAAGGGAGAAGAGCGGATATGCCGCAGAGTGCTGGAGCAATCATATCACTCATTGCTTTATAATGTGTGTAAATTTGTTACCATCATTATTATTTATAATAACATGCCCTAATGACAAACTCTGCTTCACCATTGACGCAGTGACTTAATTTCTGTTGGAATGGCAGGAAATCTTAGTCCCAAAATATCGATCACTTAAAAATGTGATTTAAAGATTTTATTCTCTTCCCCAGGGAAATGGGCAAAACCCAAGCCCCATTGATTTGCCATCTGCACGCTCCTGACTTTATCCTCTCTTTTCCTTGGGGATGGTGGTGCTACTGTGCACAGTGAGATCTGCCTAACTCTGACTGGTGTGTCTCGATTCTTCCAGCAATTTATTGAGATCCTGAAAATCCAAGGAACCTGTGGTCTTGGGATGAACTGTATACTAGGAAAAGAGAGATGAAGATTATCTATTGTCTATCATCTATCTGTCTGTCTGCTTATGTGTTTATGTATCATTGATCACTCATCTACTTATCTATATCTGCGACTGAGCCCAAAAGCACGGCAGGAAGCTGGCGAGGGAAGTGCCAAAGGGATTGAAATCATCACTGTCTGGGATCAGAAAGTACCGCTTTCACTGTCCTCAATATAATTTCATTTTGGCCAGGTAATCACCATGATGACTCAGGGCTGTAATTTCTCTTCTAAAGCCCAAAAGAAAATGTAGCTTTGGCAATACTGTAAAGCTGGGAGTTAGATAATAAGAAATGAGATGGTCCCACTGCTGTAGGAGCCTGAGTTGCTCCTGCAGTATAATTGGGAGGTCTCCCGAGAACATGTTGTGCTGCAGAATAGCCTGGTCTGGGTGCCGGTATTTCAGCTGGCACAGCTCCCATCTCTGCCTCAGACTCTTTGTTCTGCCACCCAGGCTCCAGACAGTGGCAACAAAACATCACTCTGCATGGTCGTCTTTCTGGAAACCAGCTTCAGAATGGGACCAGCTTTATGGTTCGGCAATTGGGACATTTAAGCAAAAATAAAACTTAACCTTCAAGGAACCTGCTCGTGGAAAAAAAAATCCAACTTCATTAAAATAAAGCATTTCAAACCAGCCTCACTCACCATGTGGGAAACAATAAATTCAGCAACAGAACAGACAAAACTGCTATTGAATATTTTATTCTAGTCCAGTTTCAACCCTCTCATTCATTAGAAGCTTTAAATTTTCCTTTTGTGTGGTTAAATATGAAGTGAAGTGACAAGTCTTTGTTAGAGGCTTATTCCTTGTGTTAAATTATTATACATAGAGATGTTTTCCCACATTTGGACTCAGAGAAGCCACTGCTTTGTTACTCTTTGAAGGAAAACTGGATTCTTGTGGAGCAGAGGAAGGAGCTACCCTTCATTGAGGGCAGGAGAGGGAGAAACAGAGGAATTATGGGAAGGGTGTGGCCAGGAGCCGAGCAGTCCTGATTGACTCATCCCCAAGGCAGGGCAGCAAGGGAGAGCCAACCATATGTGAAGTCCTGCACTGACTTTGCCTAACAATTTTATTTCCCCCCAGGGAGGCATGAACTTCCAGAAGAAATGTTTATTGAGCTTTCCTTATGGGAGACACAGAGAAGGTGGCAAAAGAGAGAGAGAGAGAAAGAAAGAAAGAAAGAAAGAAAGAAAAAGGAAGAAAGAAAATGTTCAGAAATGACAAGGATTGCTTCCAATGTCGAGTTTTTTGCAGCAATAGTACAGACTACCAAATTTCTAATATTTTAGAGCCCAAGTTACTATGTATTATCTTACTGAGTTTAGCTTTATAGGGATCAACTTTATTAAATTGATTAACATGCCAATTAATTTTAATTAAGAAACTTATAAACCATGCGTATAAATACATACACTTATCTGAGAAGTCATTAATTAGAGCATATCTCTTACCCAACATAATTTTACATACCACCAAGTACAATAAATATGAAGAATGGTTCTGGACCTAAAGTCTAATTACAACTTGCTAAAGCTGTAGCCAGGTACTGCCAAGAAAATCATGTGTGCTCTGGCCCTGTTTATTACCACAATTCCTTTTGTCTAGCTACTGACATGTAAAAGCAGTTCTTAATTGATCTAAATAATAAAAACTCAAAGGCAGATATAGAGGGCAATGCTGAGAGATCAGAGAGAAGAAGGAGCAAGCCACTGCCAACTTTTACCTCCTTAGCGTCTCAGCAGACAAGAGATCAAGTTCCTGCTTCTTCCCACTTAACTCACCTCATCGCCTAGCCATCTCACTTCCTGTCTGTGCCCAGCCATCTCACTTCCTGTTTCCACCCAGCCATCTCACTTCCTGTCTGTCTGTACAGACCTCCAGACTTCTATGGTTAATTAGTGGCAAGCTCCATTCTCTGATCTCCCGACAGGCTTTATTTGTACAAGCAACATGTCACCACAGTAGCATGACTGTAGATATGATCCATATCTGTAATAGTTACTTGAGTTATTTTTTAATGAAGAAGATATATAAATATGTATATATATATATATGTATATAATGCTATTGTGAAGTCAAGAATCCCTTTCTGAATCACAACATATATATGAAATTAGTTTTTTTATCATTTTTTATTTTAATTTTAAATAGCTTGTTTTACATGTCAATCCCAGTTCCCTCTCCCTCCCCTCCTCCCGCACTCTCCTTCCCCCCCCACCCTCCCACCCTAATGCCAAATCCTTCCACATAGGGGATATCTAGAGTCTGTCATTTCACTCTGGGTAGGGTCCAGGCACTCCCCTAAGAGTCCAGGCTGAGAGAGCATCCCTCTTTGTGCTATAGGCACACGATGACTGTTTGTATTCCAGGGATAGACACTGATAGACAGCTCAGGGCCTCATAGGTTGCCCAGGCCTTCTCGCTGACACTGACATTTGGGGGGTCCAGATCAGTCCCATGCTGGCCTTTTTTTTAAGGCAGAAATTGCATAGTTGCTATGATTAGATTTAGAGCATTCTCCCAAGGGATGGGACACATGTTAAAGGCTTAGTCCATAGCTTATGTTGATACTGACAGGTGGTGTGACCTTCAAGATGTGGGACCTAGTATTGGAAAGTCAAGCATGCCCTCAAATGGGGATACCGTGAGCTCTAATTCTTCCTCATCTTTGTATGCTGGTGGCCATGAGGTGACTGCCTTTGCCACCTCATGCTTCTGTTATGATGTTCTGCCTTGCCACGGTCTCCAAAGCAAAGGAGCCTACCAGTTGTGAACTGAACCCTCTAAAACCATGAGTCGCCGGGCGTTGGTGGCGCACGCCTTTAATCCCAGCACTCGGGAGGCAGAGGCAGGCGGATCTCTGTGAGTTCGAGGCCAGCCTGGTCTACAGAGCGAGTTCCAGGACAGCCTCCAAAGCCACAGAGAAACCCTGTCTCGTAAAAACCAAAAAAAAAAAAAAAAAAAAAAAAAACCAAAACCATGAGTCAAAATAAACCTTTGCTCCTTATCAGATGACAATTTTTGGTATTTTGTCACAGCAACAGAAAACTCACTTAACACAGCAACCTTTGGTCTAATAGCAGTTGCAGGCTATATGGATCCAAATATTGCTTTATTGAAGTGTCAGGCCTCAGAGAACCAATAGTCTTGTAGGGGGGGGGAGGAGAGCATATGCTTGTAGCTGGTTCTTGAGGGAAGATGTGATTGGGGAGACTGCACTTTGCTTTGTGCTTGTCCTACACTCTGTGCCATAAGAATGTACTGGAAGAAATCACTGTGTTGGGCTGATGCATGGTGACTAGACACTGACAGTATTCTGAGTACTGTGGCTACTGGGAAGAAGATGAACATTCTACAGGCATTCTAGCTGGCATTTAATTTTGAAGAACTGCTACCCACCCCCGCTGGAACTCTGGAGTGCTTATACTCTCCCTAATCAGCCACCTATACCAGACATAGACTTTCTTTTCTTTGAAAGAAGACCTTATCCCCCACAGTCATATTTACATTTATCTGAGAAAACAATTTGGCAAAGAGCTCTCTGTAAGATGTATAGCTCATAGGGAAGTGAAACTGTTTCCTCAGGTTGGATAGCATATGATCCTTGGGCGGTCACTGCCTAGCCTGCACAGAGGGGCATCTGGCATCCATGGCTGATCCATGTTAAATGGCCTTTTCCCATTTGGTTAGTATAATAAACATGACCTCATTTAACTGTTTCAGATTTTTATTGTGGAATCTGACATTTGGGTCTGGAAGGCATGGTACACGGGGATTTTTAAGAGTGGAGTTATACTGGTGGAACTTTCTAAACAAGGGCGATAAAATGTAGTAATCATCCTTGAGCTCCACGGTCTACTTCAGAGTTCAGAGTTTCTGAACTCTCCATTCTCTTCATTGCTCTACGAAGCTAGCCACGAGGGAGTTCTTTTATTTGTAACCCCCTCACAAACTTTAATTATGTAAGCCTTTATAGTGAGGGACTGACTATTATGCTTTGGACTCAAATTCATAGCCACTCAAATATTTTAAAATTCTTAAAATTGAGAATTGCTGTTCATACACGTCTTAGAAAGTCTCAGGATTTGGAGTGCCTCAGAGGGAATCTACATTAATATTCGCATGGTCTCCGATGACCTTCAAACTGTTCTCTTTGAGGTGGA